GAGGTAAAAAACTATATAAATACTGTTCAGTTTCTTGCACAGACCGATCGTTTTGTGTCTTTACACATAAATGTATCGTCACGAGCCGCAGGGTTTAATTTGGTTTTGTTTGTGTATGTTTCTTTTGACTCTCAAAGCCGTGATTCCCATTCACCTCCATTATATGACTGACAGACTTCAACGGTTTGAGTTAAAAACCTTAGTTTGTGTTCTACTGAAGAAACAAAGTCACCTACAACTTGGATGCCCTGGGGGTAAGCAGATAAACATCAAATTTTCATTTTTGGGTGAACTATCCCTTTAATTTTCTTTTTCCTAATTAAAACTATTTCAAATTGTTAATTTTAGTTTGGGGTGAAATATAACTCGGGCATCGACAAGTTCTTGACAAGTTTTCATGAGATTCTCCTGAGGTCAATGATCAGTTGTGAAGAAAATGTGCAAATAATGATGAAATAGTCTTTCAACGTTCATCTCAACACACTTCTGGGGCAGCGCTCTAGAGGTGAATATGGATGGCATAGCGGCTGCTTGCAGGTCAGAGTGAAAGTTCAACTTCTCAGACTAGATCAAGGTCAGCATTGCCTTGGAGAGGTCAGGGGAGCAGGGAGTGTGTGCGTCCCGACTGTAATCCACTTCACGCTGCTGGTTTGTGGAGCTGTGATCCCCTCTTTTGTGAACCTAAACCCGGCGTAGGCCAGCGAGGGGAGGTCAATTTGACAGTGTAGAAACCCGCCTGCGTAACTTTTTTCCACACACAGAATGCTGACACCAACGGTACGTGTACACACACACACACACACACACACACACACACACACACACAGCAGCCAGAACTGCGCACAAGTGCATCACACAGCACTAAACTGCCAGCTAAGGGTTACTAGAAAAGAGCAGGATAGAGGAGGCTAAAACAGGGTTAGTAATAGTGAAGTTATAGCAAGACAACTAGAGCAAGATAAAGAGATTCCAAGTGTTTGGAAAGACTGTGTGGCTTAGGTTAAGTCACAAATCCATTTCATTTCATTAAACAACAAAACATTGAATGCTGCAGCTTTTCTCAGAGCTGACTTCATGTTTCTAAGCCATTTGTGCTGTAACGTTTAACCAGCTGATGTCCACATGATTTTAGTGGATGCATAAAGTCAGTTTTCCTCCAGTTCACACAGGCATGAAGAAGAACCACATTAACATAAAACACTAATGTTTGACAACCAGAAAGTGTCACAATACCTCATTTTGTCAGATATCAAATGTTTAGTCTTAATAACTATTTATTATTATTTAATCTTAAATATTAATATGTTAATTAATACATGAAATTTATACATTTTTATTAAATGTACTGTTTTTTAATACATAATTAATACATTTATTAAATAATAGCTTTTTAGCTTTAAAATGGTGCTTGTGTTATCCTTGTGCCAAATAAATGCCACTTCAAATGATATTCATACATTCAAGTGTGGCTTATGCATCTAAATCCATTATAGGGAACTCTATGCATTATTCAATTTTATTTTTTGTTTCATTTTTGGATGTTGTAATTTTATTTTGTTCAACACTTTTGCACCAGTTCATGTTAGTTAAAAAGTAAACGTAATTGCAACTTTTTAATCTCACAATTCTGACTTTTTGCATGCAATTCTGAAAAACAAAAAGTCTGAATTGTAAGTAACAATTGCAAGAAAAAAGTCAGAGTTGTGAGTCACCTTTTTGAAACAAGCTTCCAGTTGCATTAGTAATGTGCCTTAGAAGCAAACTCAAACGTGAAAATATGTACAATTTTATAGGGTTCAAATGATAGAAAACTGCACGATCTGAATTCTTAACTCGAAAACACATTAAAGTCTCTGAAATGCTGGTTTCCAGTTACAGAGGATTTGTAAATTAAAACAGTGACTACAGTATACTGCCAAAAATCAGACCCTGAAACAAGTTAAAAGCAAGTCATTTTTAAGTACTTAAGGACTAAGGACTATTGTGTTTGTAGAGTAAAACGTCAATACTCAAAACTGCTATTATGTACATTTTTCAGGGTCATCACTACAATTCAACAAGGTCCAAGACAATGCTTTCATGATTTTTAGAAACTGTACAGAAAGAAGATTTTTTATCAAATTAAACAAATACAGTAAGACTCTAAACATAACAAAATGAGCAGTTCCAGATATGTAAAGAGAGCAGGCCCAGCTGGGACAGACAGCAGCCTGAGCTGCACCAACACAACACAACAGCCCCTCTGCTCCACATAACACAGAACACTCCCATTCTGCCAGGCACAATTGTTAAAAACTGGTTTGTTTTCATGACGCTAATGGTGTGGAAACCTTTCTAAAATCACAGCTTCCAGATACCGGGAGAAGTTTTTCTTTGTAAACTCCAAATATAGGTCACTCTAGAACTATTTAATGACACACATTGAAGATTAGCAGACAGAATGTCAGTCAGTAAGCGATAAGCTGTTTCCTTACAAAAGGAATTTAACGTCCTGAAGAATATCCTCCACTGACATTCATTCGAAACACTAAAGCTGCGTCTGCATACTGTCTGAATAGGTAATGCATTCAATTTGGAACTATTTCCAAAAGCTATAATTAAGTACCTCGTTTGAATGAGAACTTAGTGACCGTTAAAAAAAACGAATGTAACGTTAAAAACTACATTTAAAAACTGGTTTGTTTTCATGACGCTAATGGTGTGGAAACCTTTCTAAAATCACAGCTTCCAGATACCGGGAGAAGTTTTTCTTTGTAAACTCCAAATATAGGTCACTCTAGAACTATTTAATGACACACATTGAAGATTAGCAGACAGAATGTCAGTCAGTAAGCGATAAGCTGTTTCCTTACAAAAGGAATTTAACGTCCTGAAGAATATCCTCCACTGACATTCATTCGAAACACTAAAGCTGCGTCTGCATACTGTCTGAATAGGTAATGCATTAAATTTGGAACTATTTCCAAAAGCTATAATTAAGTACCTCGCTTGAATGAGAACTTAGTGACCGTTAAAAAAAACGAATGTAACGTTAAAAACTACATAAAAAAAAAAACTAAACTATGTACAAGGCATACAGGGTAATTCATTCCAGATGTAAGTGTATGAATGAGTCATTGAATCATTCACTCAGCAGGTTTTGTATGGAAGGCCGTTTCCGTGGTTAAGGCTAGAAGAGATAGGCTACAGCAAAAACTATTGGGCATGTGCACATCAATATAGCGTCATTTTTCTCACACTGTACAACAATAATGACTGTTTTTGTATTATTAATAAGGGGTAGGTTTAAGGTTGGGGTTGGTGTAGACGTTAATAAAACACAATCTAATAGGCAGAAAATGTAATTTATTCTTAGCTTCCGGTTTTTGCTGCATTCCTTCTAGCCACAACCCGTTTCCACCACTGAATAAAAAATGAAAGGTAATTGTGACTTTTTCTCTGACAATTCAGACATTTTTTTCTTCAATTGCGAGTTCACATCTCGCAATTCTGACTTTTTAGGAATTGCGTGGTAAAAAAAATTTTCTCAGTATTGTTAGATATAAATCTTTGTAAACTCCAAATATAGGTCACTCTAGAACTATTTAATGACACACATTGAAGATTAGCAGACAGAATGTCAGTCAGTAAGCGATAAGCTGTTTCCTTACAAAAGGAATTTAACGTCCTGAAGAATATCCTCCACTGACATTCATTCGAAACACTAAAGCTGCGTCTGCATACTGTCTGAATAGGTAATGCATTAAATTTGGAACTATTTCCAAAAGCTATAATTAAGTACCTCGCTTGAATGAGAACTTAGTGACCGTTAAAAAAAACGAATGTAACGTTAAAAACTACATAAAAAAAAAAACTAAACTATGTACAAGGCATACAGGGTAATTCATTCCAGATGTAAGTGTATGAATGAGTCATTGAATCATTCACTCAGCAGGTTTTGTATGGAAGGCCGTTTCCGTGGTTAAGGCTAGAAGAGATAGGCTACAGCAAAAACTATTGGGCATGTGCACATCAATATAGCGTCATTTTTCTCACACTGTACAACAATAATGACTGTTTTTGTATTATTAATAAGGGGTAGGTTTAAGGTTGGGGTTGGTGTAGACGTTAATAAAACACAATCTAATAGGCAGAAAATGTAATTTATTCTTAGCTTCCGGTTTTGGCTGCATTCCTTCTAGCCACAACCCGTTTCCACCACTGAATAAAAAATGAAAGGTAATTGTGACTTTTTCTCTTACAATTCAGACATTTTTTTCTTCAATTGCGAGTTCACATCTCGCAATTCTGACTTTTTAGGAATTGCGTGGTAAAAAAAAATTTCTCAGTATTGTTAGATATAAACTCGCAAATGCGAGTTATAAAGTCAAACTGCAAGATATAAAGTCAGAATTGCGAGATACAGTATAAACTCTCAATTCTGAGAAAAAGTCAGAATTTTGAGTTTTTAATCATGCAATTCAGAGAAAAAAGTCTGAATTGTTAGATTATATAAGTCACAATTACCAGTGGTGGAAACGGCCTTCCACATGATTGAAAACACTTCATGTTTTAAAAAAAAAAAAAATAAGAAAAAAAAAATGAGGTAAATTATGTACTATAAATATGGACTATATAGTAGGGAAGTATTAAGACAGGGTAATTTACTCTGGATCAAAATGAATCCATGAGTCACTGAATTATTCACTCAATTGGATCATTCAAAAGCACTGATTCGTTCAGATAACTGTTGCATGGAGACACGCAACAATTCTCCTTGGACTTCAGTTGGAACTATTTTCGGTGCTGAAGAAAAATAGACAAACTGTGATTGTAAACATTGTGTACAAAATATAACTTGCTCAATATTATCTTATTTGTTGACATTGTATAAAAGCAAAATTACACCTGCAATCATGGGAATGCTTATGTTTGGAGTATTCTTGCTTATGCAATATTGCATAAACATAAAACTTCATTACCAGACACAATACAGTTCATAAACACATTAAAGAGACAAGTTTTCATCTACTAGATGTGGTTTTATTTCCGCTTACAGTACATTCTACAGATGCACGCGTGTTACATTACCTTGAAACAACATGGTCATTTAATGTCGCCTCTTAAAAACTATATATTGGTCCTAAAAATATAGAAAGGAACAAATTTAAAGTCACAAAAACTGTACATTATTAAAAATTCACTAGACACCACATTTGGTTGAGTTTTCTTGTACTGTCTTCAGGTTTTACCGTCTGTAAAAAAAAGCGAAGCAAATATGTCCCTTTTGTATGATGAGGAACACCGAGTGAATGACGCACTGCCTACTGCGCGGATCGAGTTCAGTGTATGAAAACATGGCAAATGAACATGAATAGTGTGCTCTACTGCGCTCCTCTACTCAGTGCACTAAGAAAAATTAAGAACTAAGGGAATTTTTATGCGTCAGTTACACCAGTAATGATGCAAGGCATTTTCATTTGAGAAAGCATGGTTAGTCAAAAGATTAGTGTGTAAAAAAAAAAATAAAAAAAAAAGGCCTTTTTAAGGGAGTTGGTCCAGGTTCAAACACACACACATCATTAAAACACATAAAACAGTCTAAACATCTGAGGATGTGGCAGTTTCAGAAACCCAACAAACTGCCATGTTCATGAAAACCAAGATCAAACCAGATCAATCATACTGAAGAGACAGCGAAGATATTGTTCCGATGAAAAATAAGTGTCGCTAAACAAAACTATACTGCCGTAAGTACGTACATATCCTTTCCATATAAACCAATATCAATACAGTCTAAAGTTTTTTTTTCCCCACAGACAATAGTCATACACCAAGCAAAAGCTTTGAAAACGGCTATCTAGCTAGCAGAGCTTAAAAACAAGAAAGTTAAAACCGGCCTTTCGTTGCATCAGTTCTGCTGTTGGCTTTACGTCAGATTTCCATATGAACAAACACTGATTTCTTTCTGGGTTTGGGGGGCGTGACAGAAAAAATACCTAAATACTAGTAAAAGATGTCAATCCTCCAGTTTATAAGACCAATACTCTACAAGCAAAAGAAGCGAGTTACACGTGATATAGTATGTTTACTGGCCATTTCATGAGTCACCTATACATCTCTCTACGACGTGGTCTGCACAGGTTTACTACAGTCTATTGCTATTAAATAATCCCAACTATTTTTTTTATGTCTTTAAGTGTATATATAGCATATAATAAAAATATACTGAGGAAATTGCTTCTAGTCTCGAAAGCACGTTACATTTTCAGTCAAGGGGACACGGGTGGTCCACGACCTATACATTATGGAGCAGAAGGCTTCGAGTAAAATGGTCGAAAAAGTGAGAACATCCTGATAGAGGTGTGTCTGCGACACGTGACATCTAGTGTGACCCGATCAAGTCCTGAAGAAGTACTTCTACTCCGAAGGAGCGACGGACGAAGCTGAATAAAGAGGAGACGTTTATACGCCGTAATACCAGGTGATGAAGAAATGCTTTAAGCTTATCAAGGCGGGTGAGGGGGACAAACAGATACTTGTAAAACTAACAGAACAAATCTATACATATATCTACACGTGTATGCATACAGAGGGCTGGCTCTCCAGACAGAGTTTTTAGTAGTAATGAGCATCAAAGGGGCATGGCGTTCGAGTGCTTCCTCCCATGCAGCAGAGGGCAGCGTCTCTATTTGTCCTTGTTGTCGTAAAACTCCGCCCAGCGGCTCTCGAAGAAGCACCGCATGGAGTGTCCGGCCTTGCCCACCTCCGACGTGTCCTCGTTGAAGAGCTCGCAGTTGTTGAAGATCAGCTGAGCGTCGGCAGCAAACTCCTCACAGCTGCAGTACCTGAGACACACGGGCGTAAACACAGACACAGTCTTACACGCTAATCAGGTTATTCACTCCACCGCAAAGCCTGATCACCCAGACGCGATGTCAAATACAGATAAACTGTGACAAATTCTTTTGAAGTTTATTTTGTTGTGAAACATTTTTCAGGTTATAACATAACAATCAGTAACAACTAAGAACTCACATAAGATGAGGCATCAATTTTTTATCAAACGTAATACATTTTTTAGTTAAAGAAAACGTAAGAGTTTATACAAGTAAAAATCTATTAATTATATCTTTACAAGAGTTCAAATGTTAATGACTAAAATTACTAAAAATATGTAATAAATTATTATTATTACTTCTATCATTTTATTTTATTATTTAATATATATATATATATATATTAGGGATGTCAATTTTCGATCATTTCCATGATCGATCATCTTTTAAATTAACGATCAATTAATCGATTAATCGTTAACCGTAATGCTGCAAAATGCGTCTATGCAGCCCGGCATGACAGGATGTGCAAAAGTTACTTAAAAAAAAAAAACTGCTTTCGCACCCGATTTAAAGGGGATTTAGTCTGAATAAAATGCTAGTAGCAGGATTGTAAAATGAATAGATGTGATTATGATCATTTGATAAAATGAAGAGAGCTCGTTTGAGATCATTTTACTTTGTTGACTGTTTCCTATCCCGTCACGGAGACCGCTGAACGCGCCTCTTTAAATGGTTTCGTGGTGCTCGTTATTGTATTTTAAAACACTATTGCAATGTTTTCAACTGACATTATGGCATTTAAAATAAAATGATCCCAAACGTAACTGTGGCGCGTGTGGCTGTGCTGCGCAGTCAGTGAACCGCTTCCATCGGCGCTGCTGCAGCAAAACACACTGTTGCTCACATCAAACATTATCATGTGATATTATGACCAGTACTTAATTTGATCCTGATGGATCCTGTTCCGGAAAATGTCAGATTTTAATTAATGAAACATGGACAGTGGCCACAAATTAATAAGTCGTAGTAACGAATTAACAAGTTGTAGGAATGAATAGCCTATCTGTCCTGTGTCCCACAGCCCTGTAAAGCGCAGAGCCCCATATGAAAGAATTATCTGTGGAAATGACTTAGTTACTACATTTCTATTGCTTTCCATGTTTAAGAACTTTGTGTTGTTTCTATTTTAATGTACTTTTAAAGTTTAAATCACATTAAAAGCTTAATTTGTACATTATGAATGAATGATGATGCATTTATATACCATCACCGTCAGGGCCGGTTCTAGACATTTGGAGGCCCCCACCCAAAAAGCACTTGAAACAAATATGATTCCTAACCTTTTTATCTATACATTTCATCTTAAAATTTGTGTATTTTTACTTATACAGTACCGGTCAAAATTATGGACACATTACTATTTTTTATGTTTTTGAAAGAAGTCACTTGTGATCATCAAGTCTGCATTTATGTGATCAGAAATACAGAAAGAACTATAATATTGTGAAATTAATTTTTTTTTTTAATTAAAATTTTTTTAATGGTTTTCTATTTTTACCATACTTTAAAATATACATTTCTGTGAGTCATCAATAATCCAGTCTTAAGTGTCACCTTCAGAAATCATTAATATGCTTCATTATCAATGTTAGAAACAGTTGTGCTGCTTAATATTTATTTGATAAACTGTGATACAGGATTTTTGATGTTTAAAAGTAAAAAAAAAATAAAAAAAAATAACAGCATTTAGCCTATTTAAAATAGAAATCGTTTATCTAGAAATCTTTACTATAACTTTTTAGTCAATTTAACACATCCTTATAAAAGTATAAATTTCTTATAAAAAATAAATACTGACCCACTGAATTGCAAACTTTTGAACGGTATTGTTGTTGTTTCTATTTTAAATTAATGCTGTTCTTTCTTTTTTCTTTTCTATTTCACAATATTACAGTTTTTTTCTGTATATTTGATCAAATAAATGTAGGCTTCATGAGCATAAGAGACTTATTTCAAAAACATTAAAAACAGTAATGTGTCTAAACTTTTGACTGGTACTGTCTGTACAGATTAATTAAAACTTTATCTAAAGTAATCTCTTTTTTTTGTTTGTTGAGGATGTTATTATAGCCGTGATATTATTATCACTTCAGTTAACGAACATCAGGTTCTTGTATTGTTTTTGTTTTTTTCCTAGCTGGGTATGGGCAGGATTTCCCCCTCCCCTTTAATCAATATTGACTACAGATATTGTCATAGTAATATGAATAATATGATATTATGTATTGCATTGTTACCATATGCACTATATACAAAAATCAAGTGGAAGTGAAAGAGACAATCATTACTAAGCAGAAAAGTTAATTTCTAGTTAGTTGAAACTGAAATGAAGTGTTATGTTAGAGCAGTAATGTAATCATCAGCAGAATTTAGAAGATACACATTTGAGTTGATATTTTTGAAACATTAAAAATGTTCTAGTGTGTTTGATTACAAACTCCTTTGCTTTTACTTTTGTAGCTATTTTGCTAGTCAGCTGCCAACACGATATCATTCATTGTAAGCGCAAATTCAACGCGTCGCGTATGGGCCCATTAATGCCGCTCACGCTCTTTTAAACTTGTAATAAAACGGTGAATCATCTGTCCGACAGAACAAGTTGATTTTTAGAATACATTGCAATCACTCCAAAATAGATGACGACACCTCACACACCTGCATTAGCAGCTGTACTTCATTGGGTCCCTATTTAGTCTTTTTCTTCTTTACAGCAAACAATCAGAAGGCTGACCCACTTTGAAACAGCAACATTAAGTGGTTTAATTACAGGTGAGTGACAATTCAACTATATCCAATGAACAATGAGGCTAGTATTTTGCTGCCTGTCTTGACTGATGGACTAGCATATGTTGGGGATGTTACGGTTATGGATGCCCCGCCTCAAAGCCAGATCGAGGCCCTAGGCAATGGACCTTTTTCACATTTCCGGGTTTCTCAGCAGAAGAACTCATCATAGTTGGGTAAAATTCTACAGCAGTGAATGGGAGTGTAACATAGGATGCATGACAATCAAGGTGCGGATCCATCTGTGAGCTTTATTCAAAAACGTGGTCAAAACAGGCAAGGGTTGATACCGGAAAAACAGTGTTAGACAGGTCAAGACAAAAGAGTAATTCAAGGTACAGGCAATGGTCAATTAGCAGCAAACAGTATCCAAAAGGGCAAGACAAAGGGTAATCCAAAATACAGGCTAAAGGTCAGGGCATGCAGAGAACAATCACAAAACAGAATAACAGTCCAAGATAAAAAAAAAACACAAAAGACAAGGCAAGGCAAGGCAAGAAACGTTACAGGCTAAACAATTCTTGACCCCGAGTGATGGTGAGAGTGTGGTATTTATAGTGTGTGTGTAATTGGCTGCAGGTGAGTCCGTCACCAGAGTAGTGAAATGGATTCTGGGAAATGTAGTCTGGAGAGAGATGTGACAGTTTGTGTAAATGTGATGATGGTGATCTCCGGTGATGGTCTGAAAGCCGCCCCAAGGAGCGGCTTCCAGACGCTCCTAACACAAGAGAGTTCAAGAAGTGGAGGATCTGGGAACTGAGGCAAGGCAGGCGGAGCAGGGAATTGGTTAGCTGGAAAATGTTACATCGCGACCATGCTTTTGGATGCCGTTCGAGCCCATACAGAACAGAGCCCTTTGTTCTGGTTTGCCGGTTGGTCACGAATTTCAATAATATCAATAATATTTAGGCATTGTTTATTTTCCTAAATCTTCACCGTCTAACCCTCTAATTTCGTTTATTGTCATTATTGTCATTCACTTTTTATCACTGTTTTTTAATCGATTGCATCTCTTATCGACAATTAATCGATCATCGATTAATCGTTGACATCCCTAATATATACAGTATATAGGGGTGTAGTGGTACACACATTCGCTACTGTGTGAATTATTATATTTCATAAGACATTTGAGCAGAAATTATTTAATTTTATTACTGGATTTACAAGTTTTTGTACAATTTACATGTTTGCATACAATTTTTTTTCTTGAGTGTTGATTATTATATCTAATAATAAATAGTAACTGAATTTAAAAGTTTAGTAAACTTGTGTAAACCTCTGTTCAATATAATTTATATCTATCCATCGATCTATCCATCCATGTGCATGTGCGTA